TCCAGCGGGGCGCGGCCAGCGAGGGCGCCCAAGGACGGACCGAGAGGGAAAGATGCCGGGGTGGCCTTGGAAAATCGCTCATACGTACAACCCGTGATACCTGTACTCTCTTCTCTCCCCTGGCTCTGTCCGGAAGATGTCCCTTCCTCTCCGCGTATTGTTCTCAGACACATGATTTCAGACGTTTGTCTTCCTTCTGCATTGACTCCCAATCCGATTGACTCTGGTCCTTCCAAATGGTGATCCATTGCAGCGCTAGAGTCATTCCCACGCCTCCTGTCCTCCAGAATCGTGCTCCCGCTGCAGCGCGTTGTCATTTATGCGTCTTCGGTCCGTCCGAATGGTGCTCCCGATGCAGCACTGGCCTCATCTCTGAATTGTCAATTGTCGGTCCTCCAGCATGGTTGTCGGGCTGCACCGTTCACGCAGCCATGATATGATATTCAATACAAATTCACGCGCAACACTTACGCAACCCCATTCCTTGCTCTGCAATGCTGTGATATGCAACGCTGGGCTACGCAATGCCATGCCATGCAATGGCATGCATTGCAATGTTATGTTATGCCATGTGCCACTATGCGATGCCTAGTCTTGCGCGGCTATGCTATTATGCTTTGCCATACTTGGCTACGCAATGCTATCCCATGCTATGCATCGCGTACCCTTTGGGGATTGTCTCCTCGACATCCGACTGTGCGAACAAAGAGGGGCTCTACAACAAGGTATGTGATGGGCAGAAGGGGTAGAACGACAGATACGACGCGAGTACACCTAGCTAATCCGCCACCTCCTCTTCCTTTCCCTCCTCCTCCTCCTCCTCCTCCTCGTCCTCCTCCTCCTCCCTCATCCCTCCTGCTCCTCCTTCAACTCATGTTCCTCAACACTGTCCGAATATTCTGGCGCTGTGCTGGGCGTCGTTTTTTGGGACCAGGGGTCTGCTGCCGACCGCCCATGAGAGAAAGATAGAGAGAGAGAGAAAGAGAGACAGAGAGTGGGAGGAAGGGACAAGACAAAAAAGACAAGAGCCCACGTCGAGGCACCTACGAGGGTGCGGCGGGAGGGCGCCGGGGCGCCAGAATGGGCTGGCCGCTCAGAAGCTGGGGTCGGGAAATGGCAACCGGGTCAGAGAGATGGGAGTGGGTGCCGGAGTCGCAGTCGGAGAGAGGGGAAGAGGGGGAGGAAGGGAAGAGAGGGAGAGAGGGGGAGATAGTGAGAGAGAGGGACAAAAAGAAAGTGAGGGAGGGAAATGCAGAGGGATGGGGCAGGGAGGAGGAGGAAGAGGAAGAACGGAGGAAAGAGAAAGGAGAAGGGGGAGCGGGAGGAGAGAGAAACGAGAGAGAACGGAGGACACAGGAGGACACAGCATAAGGGAAGAGGGAGAAAGGATTGAGGACTAGGGAAGAGGGAGCAGGGAGGCACGACGCGAGAGGACAGAGCGGTCCTCCTCCTCCTACTGCGCCTCCTTCTCCTCCTCAGCCTCCTCCGCCTGCACCTCCTCCTCCTCCTTCGTTTCCTCCTCCTCCTCCTCCCTCGTCTCCCTCTTCCTCGACCTCATCCATGCCGCCTCCTCCTGAACCCCCTCCTCATCCTCCAATCCTCAGCAAGGTCTGGTGCATACCCTGACCAGGCGAGGTCCAAAGGTCCATCCTCCCACTCCACCTCAATCTCTTCCTCACCTTGTCCCCCCTTCCACCTGCTCCAGGAGGAGAGACAAACATACGAGGAGGCAGGATGGGAGAGGAGTAGGCGGATGGGGGAGGGAATGCGTGAAAGCAGGAGGGGAGAACTGAGGTGGAGAGGCCCTTTCGCTCCAACTGCATGAACGTTTGAGCAAGCAACGAAGCAACGACTCAACACCAAGTGGGCTCGGGCGCCCCGATCCTGCGGCGCGCACAACGGGGGCCAGGGCAACGACCCTCCCGAGGCCCGTCTCGAAGGATGCCAGGAGAGCCTCTGAGGAGGGCAGGATGGCGTCCGCGTCAGCAGGGAGCTCTCATGCAGAGCCGCCACCCTCGCCCCCGCCCCCGACCAGACATCCGCCCAGAATCGGTCCCGGGACCCCGCGGGGCCTATCCCGGCAGGTCTTTCGAGCTGCGCCCAGCCGGGGCGACGAGGGTGGCCCCGAGGGACGAAGGGCCAAGAATACCCTGACCCCGACGCCGCGTGCTTTTCACAGCGCGGACCCTAAGGAGATCTCGACCCCGTTGCCCCGGGGACCTGCGTCCTCGTCCCGAGGCATGGTTCTGACGGCCTGGGGCCCAGAGTGGGTCCCCAGAGGCTGAAAATCATGAAGGCCGTCCGTCCTGATGATGTTTCACATCGCAAGGAGGTCTCGGTGTCTGGGTCGGAGAGCGTACCCCCCAAGGGAAACTGTCCTGGAATGCGCCCCGACCAAACTGTGGAGGCGCACCCAGCCTTCTCCACGAGAGGCCTCCCGGAGGCGCACAGCGAGGACACGCAGCGCCCCCCAACACCCCGATGCCCCTCGGCTACAGGGGGATCGGGGCGGAAAATAGAATATGGACCCCCCAAAAATAAAACATGCGAAAACATGATTTAAAAATCGTCCCCCGACTATCTTTTCACTATTTTTGCATTCGCCTCCTGTAGTGGGACACGCCCGACTTAACCCGAACCCCGATCCTGGAGAGAGGACGCCCTGCCCCCCATGTGCCCGCCGATGGTGGAGGCCTCCCAAGGCGGGCCGGAGGTCGGAAAATCGCACCGTATCACCGACGCATCGCCTGGTGCATCCGCGACGTCGGGATCGAGAGCAAACCAGGATGCATCGGGGATGCGGAGCCATCCTCCGACCGGTAATAAGGCTCCGGGCTGCGCAAAGACAGCTCTCCCAGGCAATCCTGGCTGGCCCCATCAGGCACCCCAAAGAGTCCGGGGCGGTCTCAACATCCTGGCGCCGCCCGGGTTACTCCGGAGGCCTGCCGAGGCAAGCCAGGGCGACCTGGGACACCGGGGGGACGCCTGTACGAAACCCAATGCCTCACCACCTCGAATCCGATCTACTCGTGAGCATCGTTGATCCGACCCCTATCCCAAACGGCGTGGCCGGGGCTCCACTGGCCGATTTACCGTCCCGGATGGGGGTCTAGAGTCTAGAACCCCAACTGGGGTGGCAGAGTGGCGGGGCTCGGGATGGGGACGGGGACGGAGATGGGTTATATCGGTTCGACGAGGCCAAGCTCTGACCCCCCTTGGGACGCCTGGAGTAGGGGAACAAAAAGTGGCATAAACACAAAAACTCGGAGGTGCGTACGGATTTCTCGGATCGGCGCTGGGGCCCCCAGGCGGCGCCTCCGGCGCCGCCCCTGGCGCGCTCGGCGCGCCGGGGAGGGGGGCCCACTGCCGATCCGAGAAATCCGCGCGGACCTCCGAGTTTTTATGTTTATGTCACTTTTTCTGGCCATCGCTCGGACGTCCATTCCCTGTGTTCTTCTCGGTTTCGTGCGTGGCTTTTTCGCCAAATGATCGAGGATGCTCCTCGATGGCCCTCGCCGAGAAAAGATGCGCACGTCCGAGCGATGCCAGGTTTCGTTCCCCTATGGAGATGGCCCGTGGCAAAGCCTGGCCCGAACTCTCAGCCTGTCCGCCGGCAACCTGTGACGACGGGCGCGCGCGCCATGCTGCGCACGGCGTGCGCGCGCCCGCCCCGGCGTCTGGTTCGTGGCCGGCCTCCCCCGTCTGCGAGCAGGCCCTGCGGGCGGGGCGCTGCCGGGGACGGGGAGGGGCAGGGGAGGAGGGCCCCCTTCCGTCCTCCGCCCCCTCCCCAGACCCCCTCGAGTTATGAAAAAATCACGACGGGAGGTTCTTCATGATTTTTGGCCTCTGGGGGCCCTTACTGGCCCTCGGGACCGTCAAAAAACGACTCAGGATGAAAAACCGGTCCCGGGGAATGGGTCCAGACCTCTGGGGGTCGACGTCATGAAAAAATCATGACGTCGGGGGTCTGGGTCTGCCTCCTCATCCCAAAGATCCTCCTCCGTCCTGGAAGGGGGGAGCGGCAGGAGCAGGAGGGCGAGGCGGAGGAGAAGCTCGGCCTCCGCCTCCACCTCCTCTCCCCCCCGCGCGCTCACACCGAGGCCAGTCGGAAGGGCGGGCCGGGCGTCTCGCCGGAGACCTGGCAACGGCGAGTTCATGCCTCTCGCACGCCCACGCAGCTTCGCCTCGCCGGCACGCGCGACACGAACGTGAATCCGAAACCAATATCCCAGTGGGGGGGGTCTCCGTTTCACTGCGATCTCACCCCCCAACATCCGATATGTATAGAGACAGGGGGGAAGAAAAGAGAGAGAGAGAGAGAACACCAAACATCTGTGGGCAAAAAAACAATGAGAGAGGTGGAGTCGAGAGAGAGAGAGAGACATAAAGATAACGTGTGTAAACACGTAGCAATGTGATGCATGTGCGCGCCAGAAGATATAGTGAGTAATGCATGTGTATAATTATATGCATTTGAAGAGACGAGCAAGAGAGAGATACTAGATCTTTATATACATACAGAGAGAGAGAAAGAGAGAGAGAGAGAGGAACCTATAATAGATAGACTGGACTGAAACGTATATTTGAATTCAACTACGACGGGAGGACGGCCGATTGAGGCACCTGCGAAAATTATAAACCGACTGGTGTAATATACTAGAAGATTTCTAAGCGCGCGTGTCGCCCCTGGTGTGTCGACGCACACTGATTGTAAGTATATGTGGGTGATGCCAAAATTATGGGGGGAGCTTTGGAAAGGCTCGAGCTGGCCTGGCGGGGAGGATAAACAAAAATGGCGGACCGAATCTGAAATGTGTGACGCGAGCCCTCGCTTCAGCTCAAGTCGTGCCGGGCCCGTCAAAAAGTGGAGACACGCCCGAGTTCTGGCATGCTCGAGTCTTACGGTATGCGTACTCCCGATATTTCCTCGTGGGGTCCTTGAATATCGGTTCCCCTGGCGGCAGACGTGCGTTCGGCACGTTCGTGTCGTTACGACGTCTGCGTTGGCTTCTGGCACCGCGCGGACCTTTCAGTTGTGAGAGGCCAGGGCTTTCCGGCACAGTCGGGCCTAGGCCAAAAGAACATCCTTCAATTGACGGGCGAAGAACGGTATAAAAAGAAGCTTTTTCGCTGTCGGGGGCGCCTGTCCCAGGGCGGCTGGAAAGTTCATACCCTTACGGTGGCACCGTAGGGGTATAAACTTTCCAGCCGCCCAGGGACAGGCGCCCCCGACAGCGAAAAAGCTTATGTTATACCGTTCTTCGCTCGCTGACTCAAGAACACGAGGCCCTCCGTCGGCCACAGCAAACGGCATCTCCAAAGGCACCCTCCCCAGCATGAACAAAGAACAGAACATCCAACAGAGCACGAAAACCGACCTCGAACCTCGATCCGACCTCGATCCTTCACTCAGGTCCGCCTTCGAAGCCGACCTCGGACCTCGACCCGACCTCGATCCTTCACTACGCAACATCAGGGCGCCCCTCTCGAACCGACCTCGATCCTATACTTCAGGTCCGACTGCAGGAGGAGGGAGGAGGAGGGAGGAGGGAGGAGGGAGGAGGGAGGAGGGAGGAGGGAGGGAGGAGGGAGGAGGGAGGAGGGAGGAGGGAAGAGGGAGGAGGGAGGAGGGAGCACACATCGCTCGACCTCTGCCGGCTCTGGCCACCGGCGCCGCTCCGCCCTGGACGCCCGCGCCGGGGGTGGAACCGCCGCGTCGACGCGGCGCAAGCCTCCCGTGGGCTCCAGCCTGAGCCCTCTCGGGGGGGCAAGGATGAAGGGGCCCCAGGACACACAAATAAATACGCACAAATAAAAATATTCCCCATATTTTCCCATATGTTCTTGGTTTTGGCCTTCCCCCCACTTCCCATATTTTCCCATATTTTGGGGGGAATCGAGGATTAATTGTGTCTGTGTGTTTTTTCCCCTCCTGAAAGGAGTGGGAGGAGGAGAGGAGCGAGGGCCAGTGAGGGGGGAGGAGAGGAGGTAGTCTCAGCTTGTTCCCTGGAAAGGGGGAGGGGAGAGGAGGGGGAGGAAAGAGGAGAGGAGGGGGAGAAGAGGAGGTAGTCTCAGCTTGTTCCCTGGAAAGGGGGAGGAGGGGAGAGGGGGGTGAGGAGAGGAGGAGAGGAGGGGGAGGAAAGAGGAGAGGAGGGGGAGAGGAGTGATGGACAGGAGTGAGGGCCAGGGTAGACGTAGAAACAAAGAGGTCTCAGCCCATTCTTTTCATCCCGCGTCGCGGGCTGAGGGCCCGGGAGACCGGGCAAGAGCACCACGACGCGAGGGGTTCGTGGGCGGCCCGCGTCAGAGTCCACCCCGCCGACTTTTCTCCCAGGGTGCGCCCTGACCACCACTTCAAGGGCACTCCTGGAGGGCAGAAAATCCACCCCCATCATGATCGCTCCGACGGGCGAAGCCGTTTAGTAAACGCACCGAGTGAAGGAACCGAACAGGGCAGGGCTGCTTCGAAAACACCCAAGGCCGCTTAGTCAACGCCGAATGTCGGGTCCGGGTGGTTCTTCCTCCCTCGAACTCTAGCCGTGGCGACGCGGGGACGTCCCGTCGTAAAGCACTAGAGAACGGCACAGACACAAACTCTCGGAGGTCCGCGCGGACCTCTTGCAGGGGCGCCAGGCGGCGCCCCAGGGGCGGCGCCAGGGGCGCCGCCGGCAGGGCCCCCACCCAGGTCCGAAAAGTCCGCGCGGAGCTCCGGAAGTTTGCGTGCATTCCCATGGCCTTTGGCAACATAAGCCCAAAGTCGTCCAGGAGTCCAGAAAATCTCGATGTGGGCCCTCACGAGGCGAGGGGAGGGGGGAGATTCGGCGGCAACCCACGGTAGCCATCCATACCATCTTGTCGGCTCTTGCGAATCGACGCTGGTCGACGCTAACCGACGCCAAATCGACGCGAGTCGACGCTAAATCGGCGCTATCTCATCGACTCCCAGACGCTAACCGACGCGAATCGACAGGGTAAACCAGGCTCCCATGACTTGCCACCGAAGGAACTCAGGGGGGTGCACGCCTGGAGTCCGCGGCCCGTCAGCGGGCGCTCCCGGAGATGTAGGCCGCCGGGTCCACGCCCACCAGCATCTGCACCTCGACGGGGCCCTTCTATCCCCGTCCTCCCCCTCCTCCTCCCTCTCCTCCTCCTCATCCTCCTCCTCCTCCTCCTCCTCCTCCTCCTCCTCCTCCTCCTCCTCCTCCTCCTCCTCCTCCTCGTTCGACCCCTCCCCCAGCCCTTCTCGTCAGCCTCTTCCTCCTCCTTCTCCTCCTGCTTCCTCCTCCTCCTCCTCCTCGTCCTCCCCCTCCTCCTCCTCCTCCTGCTTCCTCCTCCTTCTCCCCCGCTTCCTCATCCACCTCCTCTCGGCCTCCTCCTCCTCCTCCTCCTCCTCCTCCTCCTCCTCCTCCTCCTCCTCCTCGTGCTCCTTGTGCAGCCCGTCCTCCTCCTCCTCCTCTGGCGGAGCCCTGGGCGCGCGAGAGGCGCCCATGCTCCACGGCATCGAGGCTGCGGCTCCTGTTCCGAGCTCGCTCGGCCCACCGCCCCGCGGCACTGGCAGCCATCCGTGGCGCCCCCGCCAGGGCGGTGTCAGGCCGTGCCACTGGAGAGCAGAGCTCCATGGGCTCCTTCTGTAGAGGGCAGAGGATCTCTATTACCTACCAGACCACCCCAACCCAGGAGACCCGAACTTGACCCGAATATCGGATTGGGCGGGTGCGGGTTCCATGTGTTTTTTCAATGTCCCCCGAACCCCCCCACCACTAGAAATGGAAGTCAAATTGAGGCCTTCGGATTGGGTTGGGGTGGTTTGGTGGGTGGTGACCATCCGTGATGCCCCTGCCAGGGCGGTGTCAGGCCGTGCCACTGGAGAGCAGAGCTCCATTAGAGGCCTCCTAGATGTGGTCGGAGTAGATGGGGTCGGAGGATCGCGCCGCATCGCCGATACATTCGCAATGCTTCGACGATGTATCGGCGATGCATCGGCGATGCACCGGCGATGCACCAGCGATGCATCGGCGACGTCGGTGATAGCTCGGCGCTGTCGGCATGGAGAAAACTGGGCTCCGCATCGGCGATGCATCGGCGATGCGGCGTGATCCTCCGACCCCATCGACTCCGACCCCATCTGAGAGGCCTAGATCCATGGGCTCCTTCTGCGAGGGCAGAAAATCCACCCCCACAATGATCACCCCGACAGGCCAAGCCGTTTAGTAAACGCACATAGTGAAGGAGTCGAACAGGGCAGGGCTTTTTCGTAAACAACCAAGGCCGTTTAATGAACGCCAATTGTCGGGTCCGGGCGTTTTTGCCTCCCTTGATTCTGGCGTCTTCTCAGTACCCGTGTGCCCCCCATTCGCGTGGCAGTCTGTTCAGCTGCTCATGCATGCGTCTGTTCATGAACACGGCGGGTGGCAACAAAACCATGCGATACGCCGTGCGAACCGAGCGCCAAGAGCTGGCCGTGATCTACCGTGACTCGTAATGTTCCAAGCGCAATCTCATTTTGAACCTGACGATAGCATGTTGCGCGGTTCTTGTGGTTGTCGGTCGAGCATCCGTTGCGTCCGGAACGTGCAGGTTGAGCCTAGATCATCGTGCTCGCGTTCGAAGGTGGAAAGGGAAGTCACCGCACGGCTCGTCGCCGAACGGGTCTGGGCTCTGGGAACTCGGAGGCCCCAGTCACCTAAAAAGTCCTCGGAGAACGACCCGAGACCCAAAACCATGCGTTAGCCTGGAACCCCCAATGACTCGCACTTCTCGGCACTCCGCCCCGCGTCTCCTCATCCTCGTCGGCGAGCGGGGCGAATCGACACAACAACGGCAGCTCCAAACATCGGTTCCCAGACAACAGCAACTCGAAATCGGTTTCCAGACGCCTCCATTGCGTCCAGCCGTGGTGAAGAGGGCCCTCCCCGAAAGCCAACTACCCGTGCCTCACCTCGCCCTCCTCTGATCCTATTTCACTAGCTTAGTCCTCATCATCCTCATCCTCCTCCTCATCCTTCTCCTCCTCCTCCTCCTCCTCCTCCTCCTCCTCCTCCTCCTCCTACTTCCCTTCCTCCTTCCCCTCCCCCTCCCCCTCCCCCTCCCCTACCCCCTCCTCCTCCTCCTCCTCCTCCTCCTCCCTCCTCCTCCTCCTCCTCCTCCTCCTCCTCCTCCTCCTCCTCCTCCTCCTCCTCCTCCTCCACGATTACTCAATATGAATACTACTCTCCCTTTTCCCCTGATGACGGCCTGGGAGTGTCCGACCTCCCCCCGCGTACTGTTTTTTACACACAGGTTTCCCCGGAGTTGGGTTTTCGCCTGCATGTTGTTCCAAAATGCTGCTCTCGCTGCAGCGCTGGCCTCATTTTCGGGCCCCGCTCGTTCCGAGTGCTCCCGCTGCAGCGCTGGCCTCATTTCCGTGCTTCCGGTCGTTCCGAATCGTGCTCCCGCTGCAGCGCTGGCCTCATTTCCGCGCTTCCGCTCGTTTCAACTCGTGCTCCCGCTGCAACGCTGGCGTCATTTCCCATGCCATGCCACGGCGTGCAATGCAATGCTAGGTTGATACTACGCTTTGCGGTGCTTTTCTACGCCATGCCATGCCGTGCTCTACAATGCATCGCGTACCCTTTCGGGATCATTGCCCTGCTCGACATCCGACTGTGCGAGTAGAGAGGGGATCTGCGCCATGGGAGGGAGGGGTAGGATGTCAGATGTGACGCGAGCGCACCTAGCTTGTCCTCCCCCCCCCCCCCTCTCCCCCTCCCCTCCCCCTCCCCCTCCCCCTCCTCCTCCTCCTCCTCCTCCTCCTCCTCCTCCTCCTCCTCCTCCTCCTCCTCCTCCTCCTCCTACTCCCCCCGTCGGTGGCGGCGACGACGACGACAACGAAACAACGAGTACCAGGGAGGCACCTCGGTGGAACCGCTGCTGTTCGCGGAGACGCCCCCGCCCCCCAGCGTGTCGTACCAGATGTAGTCGACGAGCGCGGCGCTCTTCAGACCGAGGCCCCCCTCCAGAGGAACAAAACGAGAGGGCGCGCGGGGACCCCCTGCCTGGCGCGCGGAGCGCGCCTGGGGGCGGCGCCAAGGGGCCAGAGGGGCCGCCGGGGGGCCCATCCGCACATTCTGCCCCTGCGCGGAGCTCCGACGATTCATGCTCGTGCCGCTTCGCTCCTGCGCACGGCCAGCGTCCCCCCTCGCGGACCTCCGCGGCCGCGCACCTCGAGGAGGGGGCGGGCGCGGCCGCCGGCCTGGCAGGGCGAGGGCCTGGGCAGGTGACAGGCAGAGCGAGGAAGGCGGCACCGGGCCCCGGCCGCGCAGGGTCCGCGCGGAGAGCTCCACAAGTTTACAGGCGGGGCCTTGACCTAAGGAACCCTAAATAAGGAACGAGGCCCCTTTTTTCCATAAGTTAAACTTCGATTTCCGATCGAAAACAGAAGGAAAACCTGAGGCAAGCTGCGAAACACGTAAGGAGCGCGGAGCCCCTCCCCAACGAAAAGGGTTCCTTCTTCAGGGCCCCGACTGTATGTTCGTGCAATGTTTTCTCGGTCTGCGATCCTTGATCTTCGTGTAGGCCTGCAACTCGGCCTCCACGTAGGCGTCGATGATGGCCGCGTCCGCCAGCGCGTTGTTGAGGATCTGCGAGCGTGTGCCGTTTGCGCGCTGGAGCGTCATGTTGGCCTGGGCCTGGGCCACGATGATCGCAGTCTCGAACTGCACTTTCATGGCGGAGCGCGTCTTTTCCATCTTCGCGATCTTCTGTTTGTTCGTGGCCGCCGTCAGGATCATCTCGGTAAACTCGTCGGGCAGATCGTCCTCGTTGATCTGGAGAGATTCCACGGTCGACCAAAAATTCGCCTGGAAATAATTGTTGACTTCTTCCCGCATCACTTCTGCAATCCGCTGCTTCTCGTTGAAGAACTGATATGCCGTGAAGTTCGTTGCCATCTCCGTTATCAAGTGCGTGGCCATCAGCTTGTACACCTGCTCGTAGTCCCCAGCCTCCTGCTCAAAGGTGTGATAAAGATGGTATATGCCGTCGGGCATCAGCCGGTACTGGAAGGTGATGCCCAGCGTCAGCGGCAGCCCATCCTTTGTCCGGCCCGCGAGCAGGTTCTGGGACTCCGCGTCGTAGGTGATCGTCTGGATCGTCTTCGGGTACTTGAGCAGCCTCGTCGTGGGCCCCAGGAGCTTCAGCCCTGCCTGGACCTCCACCTTGCCCCGTGGTCGGGGGGGTCGCCCGACCGGGGGGGGGAGAAAAAGCGCAGCCTGCCCAGGACTTCGAGGGAATCCGGCCGTGGCGGGGAGGGGCTCCCCAGCACGAGCGGCGGCATCGGACTGCTCCCCTCCTCTGGCCGACAGGCGAAGGGCCATGTACGGCCCCTGAGCAGCCAGGCCGACGGATCCCCCGCCCCCCACTCCAGCCAGGACGAGCATCGCTTCGCCGATGCCTATCCCACTGGCGTGGCCGACTTCCCCCCTGGATGGGGGACACGGGCTGTTCCATGCGGGCTTCAAGGGGCATCCCCCGAACTGGGGTGACTGGGACGGTGGGGCTGAGGTGCCACGGCCCGGCGGGGATCTGGGGGTGGGCCAGCGTCTGAGCCTCCGACGACCGCTTGCTCCTCCCCCTCCCTGCCCCCCCGACCACGTTGTTCCTCCGACTCGCTGGTGGTGAGCGGTGATAGACCCTCCATCGACACTGCGTAGACCCGAGAGAAACGGAGCGCCCCCACAAGGAAAGCGACTTCGGCTCCGGTTCGTGTCGTTCGTGACGCGCGGGCGATGCGAAGCTGCACGGGCTCCTGCACTGGCTACACTCAGGTCGCGCCACAATGAGTCGGGGTCCGATACGCGATACGCTGAGAGTGCGCGGGGTTATCCCAACGTTGTCGTTTGGTTATCCCGTGGCTGTCCCGTGGTTATCCCCTGTTTGTCCCGTTGGTGTCTCGTGGTTGTCTCGTGGTTGTCCCGCGGTTGTCGCATAGGTCCCGAGGTCGTCCTGTGCTCATCCCAGTGCTGAGATCGATTACGATGCCCCGTGGTTTTCCCGTGATCGTTTCGCGGTTGTCTCGTCACTATCACGTGGTCCTCCCGTGGTTGACCTGTGGTTATCGCATGGCTCCCCGTTGTTGTCCCGCGGTTGTCAAATGATTGTACCGCGGTTGTCCCGTCTTCAGATAGGTGCATCGTGATATACATATCCCTATATATACATATAGACATGTTTCAGCTGCACACACGTATGCATATACGCATACGTATACAGACGAGGGTATCAAGCTGCCGAAGCATCGAGGCATTGCGATCGAGCGGTAATGGCCTCAGTCAAAACTGCGGTAGCGCGACCGAACAGCTGAAAGCGTGGACTGGTGGATAGGGACATCACTACCGATATATCGATAGTTTACGAGTCCGGCCCGACGCCTATCTCTGACCTAAAGCTGCGCGCAAGAGACAGGACTCCCACCAGGAGCCAGCCGCAGCCCACGGCTGAGCTGCAGGCTGCAGGTAACAGAA